GCCAGGCAATGTGTATGCTCTGCTTTGGTCTGTGTCTCCAGCTCAGAATTAGACTCAAATTCATGCAATTACTGGCTCCTGGGCTGCAATGAGCATCTCTTCTCATATGTATAGGTGATTGTTAATACAGGTTGGATAAGAAGCTAAAACAGACACTGCATTCAGGTACAAAACTGGACTTCAGTCAGGGGTTATCAAACTAAACTAAAACGCTCATTTCTGAGCAGTTACTCCACTCCCTCTTCAGAAAAGTGTTACAAATGAGCAGTGGCTCAATTATCGAAATGTATATAACTAGGTATGCAGTCAGGTGTAAAAAAAGACACCTTGCATCCTCAGATCTCTAAACCTGCAGCTGATCCAGAGGAATGCAATATACCTTTTAAATATGTGGTTCAATTTGCTTCAACAGAGAAAATATTCCTTCTCGATCATAAAAAGACGACAAGATGCTCACTGAAACAAAAGTATTCTTTCCCTGGTTAAGGTCCTTCATTACTTTAGTTGCCCTTGTGCTTCTTCTGTAACTGTGCTTGAATCACCTCCATCAGATCATCTCTCACAGCTATCACCTTTTGTATCACCTCCCCCTTCCTAAACTCTAGGTTCACATCTGTGCGGGTGGTGTTGCTGCGGATCCGCACGAAAATCCGTGCAGCCGCACCACCCGCACAGAGAAATGCGGACCCACGGGCGGGTGCCATTAGTTCTAATGGCACACCGCCCACACTGGAAAACGCAAACGTACTGGGAACCGAGGTTCCCGTGCGGGCTGCGTTTTCCAAAGAAGTGCAGGGACTTCTTTCCTGCGCGTCACAAGCACAGGAGTCCATTCAAATAAATGGGCTCTTGTGCCCGTGCAAAACACGGCCCACACGTGAACGCATGGGCCGTAAACCGCATATATGTGAACCGGGGGTTAGATTGTAAGCTTCACGAGCAGAGCCATCTTATTCCTTCTGTACTGAAATGTATTGTAATTTTACTGTCTCCCTTGTATTGTAAAGCGCTGCACAAACAGTTGGCGCTATATAAATCCTATATAATAATAATAATATAAACATCTAGTAGCTTTTTTTTTTTAATTCTGTTCACATTCTTTTAGCCACATTTGTTCATCATTTGTGTAACTGACTACAACTGTATGTTAAAATTATTTCAGTGCCTGAAACCTCTTAATAATGCTGTGACCACGTAGCAATGCTCTGATAATAGGCAGAAAAAATAGTCCTGGTACCAGGCTGTAGTATGAAATATATATAATGGGAAGCATTTTATTAAACATGCAATTAACCAGCAGCCCATAAAATACATTAAATTGTGGTGTCATCAAATGGCAAAAGTATGTTAATAAGCATTATTTGCAAGTCATTTTGTTTATTGATATAGTCAAATATCATGGCCCGAACTGTGTTTTTTTTAAATTTTATTTTATAAAGAACCTGTTATGGTCATTATTAGTTGAATTCTCTTTGGTACACTTTTGAGACCAACACTGGATTAGTATTGTTATATGAGCGGTGGAAGGAATTATTTCCCTTCCATCCCACCGTCTATATGGCTTGTTTTTTTTTTTTAATCTGTTAATGTCTTTAATAATCTAATAAAAATATTTTGTTTAAAAATACATCAATTGTGTGGTTATCTGTTTAGGTAGTTCTAAAATAGTTTATGGTTATTGACAATTGTAAGATAAAAATCACCCATGGGAATGAGTAAATTCAGTTACTAAAATAAATCTCTCAGTTGTCTTTTACTATCTGTGCTACCGTTGAAATTAATGTACATTATTTTTTCTTTGGCTGAGAAGCAGGACAAAAAGTCAATGGAAACTCACATTTTTTTCTATGTTAGGAGAGCAGCCTAGGGTGACAACTAGGTGGCGTGACAGTGGAAGAGTGACATAGCCACCCAGAGATAGGAAATTTGTTATTTGCAGGATTACCAGGTAAAAATAAAGCTAAAGAAGCTTGCAAAAAGAAAAGGAATACAGCCGCCACTTCAAGCACTAGTAAGCGGTAACATGCTACATTTTTGGTTTGAGGTTTAGATACAATTTCACGTTTCAACCACTTCCATATTAACATGTTTCTAAATTTCTAAAACTGTGGAAAAAAAGATCACCTCGGAGTGTAGATTTTCTAAAAAGTGATCAGTTTGGGGTTTTTCAAACTGTTCTGGCTTTTTTTATTCAACATATTGTATAACATAAATTAAGGGAGACAGTTTTCTTTAAAAATGTTTAGTCTATTTTTCTTTAATATAGTAAAAATAATAAAAAAAAAATGGTTATTAATAAAATAATTAAAAAAAATACCACCAAAAGAAAGCACAAAATCTCAAAAAGCAATAGAAAATCAATTAATTAATTAATTGATTGATTGATTGATTTGGTCAAGTAATTGCCAGTCAAACTATCACAGCACTGAAAACTGAAATATGGCCTGGTAATGAGGGAATATTTTGGGCTGGCATTCCAGTGGTTTAATTGATTTAATCAATACAAAAATACCTTCTGCACTGCTATATTTTCCTAAGCAGCACAAAACAATAAAATGGAACCAAACATATAACAAGCCAGCACTCCAATGTGATTCCCACATTAAAAAGACAAAACAAAAAACCCTATAAATCCTTTTTATCGCAGCACTCAAGCAATGAATCTCACCAATTAATCTTAATCACCCATACATATGTGCACTACAAACTCGATACATATTCATGAGAAATTAAATAACACACACACAAAACTTGTATATGCATATAAACTACAAAAATGTTGTACAACACTATTTCAAAAAAAAGATCGTGTCACAGTTTTATCTGTGCAAATTCAAACCAAAATGTGTCAAAAAAGTCTGCTCTAAGAAATATAAACACAAAATCTTCCATCCTTAAAATTTTCAGTATATTCCCTTTTGCTTTATACAGTATACTCTTAATAATCTTCCACCATTATGCAGACCCAACACATAGAGTGTGTGCTCACCTTTCCAGTTGGACTTATCTCTAAGAAGATCTATAAGTGCTTTCTCTCCCTTCTGTGGTTACTGTATTCCCAATTACTTCTCAGTCAGAATTGCTTACTTGTGCAGCTCAAAACAGAACACAAACCCGGATCATAGTGCTTTTCATACAAGTATTTTTATTAAGCATAAAACCAAGAAAAAACACTCACATTTTAAAAGAATCAATGCACTCTGTAATCAACTAAAAAGGAAGACCCTGCCCTGTTGATCCTTGACAGCCTTGCTGTGTCTCCCCCATTCCAGTGTGGATACATCACAGTTTGACTCAACTTTATTATTATTATTATTATACAGGATTTATATAGCGCCAACAGTTTGCTCAGCACTTTACAATATAACGGGAGACAATACAGCAACAATACAGTTCAATACAAGAGGGATAGGAGGGGCTCGGAGCTTACAATCTAGGATGGAGGGGTTAGTGGTATAAAAGGTAGTAACTGTGGGGGATGGACTAGTAGGAAGAGTAGAAGATTCCATTATTAGCTGAAGGCAGGATAGGCTTCCCTGAAGAGATAGGTTTTCAGAGATCACCTAAAAGTGAGCAGAGTAGGCGATAGTCTGATAAATTGGGGTAGAGCGTTCCAGAGGATGGGTAAGCTCTGGAGAAGTCCTGGAGACGAGCACGGGAGGAGGAGACAAGGGAGCTAGAGAGCAGGAGGTCGTTCGAGGAGTGGAGCGTACAGTTTGGGTAATATTTGGAGACAAGATCAGTGATGTAATTTGGGGCAGAGTTATAAATGGCTTTATATGTTATTGTTAATGTTTTGAATTTTATCCGTTGGGCAACGTGAAGCCAGTGGAGAGATTGGCAGAGAGGGTTGGCTGATACAGAACGGTTAGTAAGGTGGATGAGTCTGGCAGCAGCATTCATGAAAGACTGAAGAGAGGATAGCCTGTGATTAGGTAGGCCAATGAGGAGGGAGTTACAATAGTCAAGGCGAGAGAAAACAAGGGAGTGAATAAGTTGCTTAGTGGTTTCCGAAGTTAAGAATGGCCGTATTTTGGAGATGTTGCAGAGGTGAAGTCAACAAGATTTGGACAGTGATTGGAACTTTACATGTTATGTTCATCTTAGGTCCACCTCTGATGAAGTCCGCCTCTGATGAAGTTAGGACATAACGTGGCAAGGTGGAGTCATCACACTGGATGGGAGGAGATACAGCAGGAATGTCAAGAAAAGCAGTGCAGTGTTGTGATTCTTTTAAAATGTGAATTTTTTTATAGGTATTGCAAGTTGAGGTTTTAGTCTTTTCTTTTATTGTCAAGATAATAGAGAAAATGGAACAGTACTTACAGAATCCAAAATGACATTACTGCAACAGCAGGATTACACATAAATAGAACAATGTGGATACACAGATCCCGTAATAGACAGAATAACAGAAATAGTAATCAAATGAAACAGAAACCACAAGGATCCAAAACGTTCTTGATAATATCTTGCTTTTTCCTTTTTCCTTTTTATTCCTTCCTGTCCTAATGTAAACAGAAATGGGAGGAACAAAGCCCAAAACATGCCTTCAAACAATAAAAAAACCCCATCAACAACAACCTCTGGTTCACCCGAGACATCTCATCAAAAAGATTGGGAGATGCACATGATCTCCTCTAGGGGGGAGGAGTGGAGCCACACACCTGATATAAAATGTCACACCTGCAAAAGTTGGTCCGCTATCAATTGAGAAGGGGCGAGCCCAGGTGTATCCAGCCAACCCCACCATACCTGCTGGAACTTATAAGCATTGCTATGTTGGTACGTGAGTATCTCCCACGGGAGTAAAGAATTAACATAATCTATCCATTGCTTACTAGTCGGAGGAGCCGATGATAACCAGTACCTTGCTATCAACTTCCTAGCCAGATATAACAGTCTAGATACCATAATATACCATCCTGGTTGGAACAGTTCTTGGTCCAGGGCCCCCAACAGACATTGCAAGGGATCCTGGGGAACAGTATATTGTGATACTAGCAAAATAAATTGAAGAACCTCATCCCAATATCTATGTAACTTGGGCAACGCCAGAGCATATGAATGAAGTTACCCTGTTGGACCCTACATATTGAACAATCTGGTGATTCAAGCCTGCCCCACCGATACAGTTGCACAGGGGTCCTATATGCTCGATGGAGAATAAACAATTGAGACAATTTATGTAAGGAGAAAGAGAAATTTCCTAGAACAGATTCCAGGGCAGCATCCCAGACATCTCCAGCAAATTCTCCAACATCCGGGGACCACTGCGCTCTGCTGTGGAGACTAGCTTGATCCTGTACTGTGGACAATATCTGGGAGTATACCCGAGAAATCATGCCCTTCTTATGCATATAAGAGTAGTGTGTGCTATTTGTTTATCATAAATATGTATTGAGTTTATAGTGGATATACTGTATGTATGGGTGATTAAGATTAATTGTTGGGGTTTATTGCCTGAGTGCTATACTAAGGTTAAACTATTCTCTGCCTGTTCTTATTACTGGCAGAAGGATGCTACGCTCTGCTTTAAATTTATAGAGGTGTCAGATGAGTTGATTTTGACATTAGATTGCAGGAAGCTATTTGGGTAGCTGTGTGCTGGGTTTTCCTATTTACTCTTCATTTTTCCTTTGAAAGTCTATTTTTTTGTGAACATGCTAAATGCATAAGAAGCTGAATACACTGCCAAAAGTCTACTGTTATAATTTCTATACAATTATTTTTAGTAAAGTTGTTTTACTTAAAGAAATATTCCCCACAGTATTGAATGAAAGCTTTATCAGAAGTAAGTGAAATGTATTATTAAAACTTACCTTTGGTACCGTAGAGATGGACAATACTTTCATATTGGTCACATACTTATGTCCCACTTTGAATTAAAAGGGTAACTAGATAAAAGTTTCTTAAATAAAAAAATTAACTTATGTTATACATCCTCCTATATAACCTAAACCAATGATTTCACAATTTGCTGCATGGGACAATAAGAATGTGTATGTCCCTTTAATGATCACTTGGGAGAAGTAAAAATTGTATTTATTAAGCTGGTGCTAGATCTTGTGGAAGTGCTCAAGTGGGTTTAAAACAGATTCCAGTTTACTATACCTCTGAAGTGTGTGGTTAATGTAGTTCAATTAATATCTACACTGTATTGCTAGAAGTATTGGGCCAACCCTCCAAATCATTGGATTCAGGTGTTCCAATCACCTCCATGGCCACAGGTGTATAAAATCAAGCACCTAGGCATGCAGACTGCTTCTACAAACATTTGTGAAAGAAAGGGTCGCTCTCAGAAGCTCAGTGAATTCAAGCGTGATACCGTGATAGGTTGCCACCTGTGCAATAAGTCCATCTGTAAAATTTCTTTGCTACTAAATATTCCACAGTCAACTGTTAGTGGTGTTATAACAAAGTGGAAGCAACTGGGAACAGCAGCAACTCAGCCACAAAGTGGTAGGGCATGTAAGATGACAGAGCAGGGTCAGTGTGCAGAAGTCACCAACTGTCCGCAGAGTCAATAGCTAAAGACCTCCAGACTTCATGTGGCCTTCAGATTAGCACAACAACAGTGCTTAGAGAGCTTCATGGAATGGGTTTCCATGACCAAGCAGCTGCATCCAAGCTTTACACCACCAAGTACAATGCAAAGCGTCGGATGCAGTGGTGTAAAGCACGCCGCCACTGGACTCAGGGGAGTGGAGACATGTTCGCTGAAGTGACCAATCACACTTCTCTATCTGGCAATCCAATGGTCGTGTCTGAGTTTGGTGGTTGCCAGGAGACGTGCCTGACTGCATTGTGCCAGGTGTAAAGTTTGGTGGAGGGGGATTATAGTGTGGGGTTAATCTTTAGGGTTTGGGCTTGGCTCCTTAGTTCTAGTGAAGGGAACTCTTAAGGCGTCAGCACACCAAGACATTTTGGACAATTTCATGCTCCCAACTTTGTGGAAACAGTTTGGGGATGGCCCCTTCCTGTTCTAACATGAGTGCTCACCAGTGCACAAAGAAAGGTCCATAAAGATATGGATGAGCGAGTTTGAAGTAGAGGAACTTGACTGTCCTCAACCCGATAGAACACCTTTGGGATGATTTCGAGCAGAGACTGTAAGCCAGACCTTCACGTCTAAGCCAGACCTTCATGTCACTACCAAGAGCCCCTAGAGGACATCTTTTGATGATGAAACGCGTCTGATAGAGCCTCCCTCTGATGTCATTGCGCTGTTGGCCATTTTGGAAACGGTCTATTTGAATACTTTTAACTGTTCTACAGCTTGTAAGCAGAATTTCATTTGTGCAAATAAAGAAGTTTTTGATACGTATTGCACTATGAGAGGCATGTTTTTTCTTTCATGATCTCATTTAACACTGCATTTCGAGTCCACATTTGAGCTGGAGAGCCTACTAGTACTCTATATCACAATGCTGGTTGGGACCCCCTATAATTAAAAGGTTTCCATTTCCTATAAGCCTCCATATAATTATTTGGTGGTGGTACACACTCCAGTGACCATTTGAAGGAAGATTATCCACATTGCACCTACAGCATAAATTTACAGTATTATCACTGATTGTGAAGTCTTTATCTTTATATGGACTTTAATATATGTCTATATGGACAATAAGTTACTGTTTTGTTGTTTTGACCCTATTTCACAGTATACTTGTGGTTAGCACATTTTGCACAGTATTAAATGTTTCAATTTTTGATCGCCCTTCAGAGGTATGATGGTCTTCATAGTGCATATGTATGTTGTATGATATCCAAAGGTTGATTTGACCATAATTCATAGTTCTTTATGTATATTTGTGATTAGTGTATTTTGCAGAGTTTTAATACATTTTTTATTTTTGAAGTATGAGGGTCTTCATAGTACATATGTATTTTGTATAAAATTGAATGGTTCACATAGCACAGTATCCATTCCAGTTTTACCAGGAGAGGATATTCTCTTTAATATTTGCGGCTTTGTGACACAAGCTGATTAGAGATTTGCGTGATTTGTCCCCATATACAATATAGTGTATATTGACAGCAGGAAAATGACTTCAAGAATGGATAGAAGATATACTGTATGTCATGATGGTTTTTTGGACATTCAAATGTTGAGTAATCTAAGCACATGAGGCATCCCTTGGGTTCAGGGTTTACATTGTTGTTTTCAGTAAAATTGATGAATAATGCACATTGAAGATATGTAGTTGATAGCAGTTTTTGTTGAGAAAATCTAATATAAGAGGATATATAGGATATATCTCAATAGCCAGACATCTAACCATCCAAAATGTTTTAACCGCTTTCCTGCCGCCTTATAGCAGAAATACTGCTACAGGGTGGCAGGGGTGCACAAAATCACGTATATATGTAATTTTGCATTTCTGGGTAGGGGGCGTGCACGAGCTGCGTGCACAAGCTGCGTGCACCCCCTTACCTGTGCTGCCATTGCTGGCCTCACTTGTTGATCACTGGATCCTGGCTGGTGATTGACCTGGCAATTGCTGAGTATCACCGATAGGGGAGAGACCTGTATGTAAATAATACAGATCTCTCCCCTGTCAGCTCCTGCACACTGCTTTGTATTGCTCTGCATAGCAATGTGCTTACGCAGTAAAACACAACACAGCCAGGAGCGGACTGACCATTTGGGAATTCGAGGCACTGCCCGAGGGCCCGGGGTCAGTAGGGGGCCCCATGAGATGTCCCTGGCACCTTTTCATAGGCTTTTTTGGGTGTGGTTTGAGTGTGGGCGAGCAAACAGGGGCCCTATGATCCCTTGTTGCCCGGGGGCCCCATGAGCTGTCAGTCCACCCCTGAACACAGCACAAAGTTAACCCTTTGATTGCCCCACATGTTAACCCCTTCCTGCCCAGTGTCATTAGTACAGTGTCAGTGCTTTTTATTAGCACTGATCATTGTATTGGTATCACTAGGGATGTCAGCAACAGTTAGTCAGCCCCCCCCCCCATGTCAGAATGCCCCCGCCGCAGTCCTGCAGTCCCGCTATAAGTCGCTGATCACCGCCAGTACTAGTATATAAAAATAAAAATCTCAGTATCTATACCGCCATTTGTAGACGCTATAACTTTCACGTAAACCAATTAATTTACACGTATTGGGATTTTTGTTTAGCAAAGACATGGAGCAGAATACATTTTGGCCTAAATTTATGAAGAAATTCGATTTTTAAAATTTTTTTACTGAACATGTTTAATAGCAAAGTCAAAAATATTGTTTTTTTCTCAAAATTGTCGGTCTTTTTTTTATAGCGCAAGTGATCAAATAACACCAAAAGAAAACACTATTTATAAAGGAAAAAAAGGACATAAATTTCACTTGGGTGCAGCATTGCATGACTGCGCAATTGTAAATTAAAGCAACGCAGCACCGTATCTCTTGCTTGTTTCCTGTTATTCCGGGAGTCCGGACCCATTCTGTGACATGCCTGTTTTTACCTTCCTTCTGTGAGTTGCTAATTTTTAATCTACAATAAAATACATTTTAATGCTGCACTTAGTCCGGCTTTTTTTTTTATACACAGAGGTCAGCTTTGCTCTAAGGGTGCTGCCGCAGATGCCGCTTCTTGCTTCCATACTCCCACAATGAATACCAATGGTCTTTAATTTTTACTTTTATGGACTATTTTTCTTCCATATAGTCATACACCAGCGCCAATTATTATTGTTTTGTATCGCAAAAAATGGCCTAGACACATAAAGGGGGGTAAATCCGCTGGAGGACAAGTGGTTAATATTCCACGGCATGTGATTTCAAATTGTGTACAAATAAACAGACCTTTCTTAGGGAATGAGCTCCAGCTTATTATTATCTTTGGTATGTGACAAAGATGATATTTAGATATTTAGGCCTAAGGAAGAAGCTTTGCTTCGAAACGCCTTACCGCCCATTTATATCAACTCTCTCCAACGTTTGACGTTACGTCCACCCCGGCGCCATTTGCGTTCCAAACTGGTTTCCCTACAGTGGCTGGCCACTCCAGGAGATCTGTTCCAGTTACCAATCAGACACTAGGACTCCCCTTGTCCTTTACCAGCTCCCGGGATTCTTTTTAGACCACGTCACAGGGGACATGCTAATATTGTTCATACTTTTAGTGAGTTGCCAATTGTTTATCTTGCAATAAATTGCTACGATAAATGCTGCACTTAGTCTGGCACCTCTCTCTTCTCTCCCCATGATTTTCTCCAGAATTGTGTCTGGTCTGTAGATGTCAGTAAGACGGGGTTTCTTTTTTATACAGGTGAAACTCGAAAAATTAGAATATCATGCAAAATCTCCACAATCTCAGAAAATGAGAATATTGTGAAAAGGTGCAATATACTAGGTTCAAAGTGTCCCACTCTAATCAGCTAATTAAGACATAACATCTGCAAAGGGTTCCTGAGCCTTTAAATGGTCTCTCAGTC